CCTGATATCCTCCCCTAATGACGACCTTCGCTTGACTCGAGCCATATTGCGCAATTCTTTTTTTGTGTTCCGGATCGAGTTGTAGAAGCTCGTGCGATTCAAGGCTGTCTCGGAGGTGATTATTGTGACAGCACGCGATGTGTAGTGACCCCTTTGGAAGCTTGAGAACTTGCAGTGGCAACGGAGGCGACCGAGGTTGTAATGACGAAGTAGAAGGAAGGTTCCCAAGACCGGAGTGAGGAGTGATGGATGGATGGGAACAATTATATATTTATTTACAGAAAGGAAGCAAGAAATAAAGCAGAGGAGGGGAGAGAGATGGGTAGGAGGTGAGAGAGAGGTGGGCTGTAGAAGAAGAATCCTTCTGGAAGAACACCCTGCAACAAAAAACTTAGGGAGAGACGAGGGTACACAGCTTACCCTTACCATATCAGGATCGGGACCAGGGGGGAAATGGATCTCCAGGGAACCAAAACGTTCCGACGACGCTTCTGGATGGCGACAACGTGTATCCTGGACCAGGGTGCCTGGACCGCTTACTTTCCCGGTAGCTCGGAGCCCGCTTCCCGATTTTTGGTCTACGCGAAACTCGCTCGTAGTATTTATTCGACGAAGCGAAATGTCCTGTAGATAGAGTGGTTTCCCGTTTAAATATTCTTGTTTTGGTAAGAAAAACGGATGCTTGATAGTCCGGATACTTACGCGTTAGCCGCGGTTATTTGCACAACTTCTCACTCGGCGCGAGCAACTCCGTAGGGCGTCACCATGCCAGCTGTGGATCACCGATGATGTGGATAACTTATAAATATATTTCTTCAGCCTTTATAGACTGGGCTTTGTAATTATCGATAAACTTGTATATGCTGACGGCATTGAGAAATCTATGATACAGTCTGGAATTACATGTTCTTGTAGATCTCTCATGTACTTACATGTATGTTGCCCTAGGTACATGTGCTTTCATGATATTATATCAGAGTCTGTTCTCGCTTCGTCTCGTTTCGACATGGAAACGAAGCCTCCGAGAATCTTATGTTATTCCTGTCACCACGTCATGAAAGGGTCTAGTGCTATTGATATATCACAAGCCCTTGATCAACATCTTTAGCTGCCATCGATAATTTGCCGATGTACAGAGTCACGATAATTACCCCGAATTACTTTTCAAGTCAGGTGAAATCCGAAAAAAAAAAGATTAATTCCAGCCCCACCACACGTATCGGCATCTCCGTGCACTTATGGAGTTGCCAGTTCAAACTAACGTCATACGTATACAAACCGTGCCGTTTCTTGAAAACTTTAATTCATCCACATGTCCTGTCATCGGAAGTTGATAGCTGGTGGCTATTAGATAAGTACACATAATGACCACGTGACAAGTTCCAGATTTCTGAACGTTTTTAAGGGAGTGTCATTTGCAAGCTTCGGCCAATCTGGACTATGTCACTCATCCTCATATCTTGCTATCAGTCACTTAAGCTACCAGTCAGCTAACTTACCACAAGTGTCTTTATAACCTGGGAAAATGGGTAGGTCCTGTCCCTCTGCTGTTTGCTCGCTCCCACAGAATGTGATTACATCTTGTTTTAGAACACCGGCTAACGTATATACGTAGAAGAAGAACAAGGAATAATGGCCTGTTTGGAACAAGACTGCTGGATAAGACTCAACACAAATGCACCGTGGAATGACAGCGGCGAAGGACTGTTTTCAACCAGAGAGATCGAAATGGGGCATCTCATCTACACAGAATTCCCAGAGACAATCGTCAACCATCTAGATCCCAAATACAGAGACAATACTGGCGATGGAATAGATTTGTTATACTTCTGTCGGTCCAGCCTGACTCGTGAAAAATACGACGAGGAGCTGAAGTACACACTCCTTGGGAAAAACACAGCGGATATGTTGGTCAAAAAACGGAAGGGTGGGATCTTCGATTGGACAACAGAACTGGAAATGTTAAGTGTCAAGCCGACTTGGGTCAACCACAGCTGCGTGCCAAACATGTACAGGATCGATAGCAATGACCTCATAACAGGTCGACTCAAGTGCCAGTTTTTTGCGTTGAGAGATATTAGTGAGGGTGAGGAGTTGACGATAGCCTACGAAGACGTAGTAGAGTGGGAGAGTGTAAGCACAAGAAGAGCATTTCTTGGGAGGGAGTACGGATTCTTTTGTCGATGCCTTAGGTGTGCTGAAGAATCCGAATTACGTGACATGGAGCCCCTCCGACGTAAGTATCCTAATAACAAGGATCCGACTCTGAGATATATGCTAATATGAACAACTGATAGCGGCCCACATGAATTTGTCGCTACAAATCCGCAACGACAGCAGGAAGATGGATGGAGCTGGAGATCACGATACTTCCCGGTCTGTGAAGACTCAGGACTACAAGCTCCCTAAAACCTATTCCGAAGACTATCTTCATCTCAGACACAGCAAGGCATTGAGCAGTAGTCGTGGAAGAACTCGCCTAAGGCTTAAATCCTTGCTTGTAGGCCTACGGGATAGGTTTAACAAGAGTGATATTGCCGAAAATACACTGGCCATGGATTCACATGATTCTCTTGAAAGGTTGGACGAAGAAGACGAAACGCATGCAGCTGTTGCTCAGTCCGGCTTGCCTTTGTCTATCCGCGAACAGAAGAGGAAGGAGAATAGTACAATTTGATATTGCTTATAATTATTAATTGCTTGGAGAGAATGTTCGAGGTTGGGGAATACTCGAACACTTTATGGGATTATTTGGGTTGGGGTCCTAGCTAGAGCCTGTGTATAATTACAACGTCACATGGAATAATGTGGAAAGTGAATTGGGAGGAAAGAGATGGTGGACTCGGGCACTGCTATAAAGACTTCGATAATAGATATCGCATTAGGGGCTTTTATTTCAGATTAAAGACTCGAAGCGGATGAAAAGAAAACCCGAATGGCGTTCCACACTTGAGAATGGGATTGTGAGCTCTTCATAAACAACCATGATGATCCTCAGGACTAGCAATTGTACGCCTACTCACTAGGGTTTAGTATGAATGTAAAGAAATAGTGAGATCGATTGTTAATTATTAACGCAGTGGATAATACTTAATTGTATTTTAAGTACTCAGGACAATCCATATCAATCCTCATGTAGAGTACACTGCCAGCGGAACGACCGATGGACTATTTTCTTCAAAGTTAATAACTGATTATCTCGGAATGGATTATGTATTTTTACGTACGTAGAGCTAGATAAAGATTCTGCGACTCGTTCGAGTTTAATTCAACTAGGTTTGCTTTACATCTTACTGCTGTAAAAAATAAAACTTGAACGCAATACTCCCATGAGCCTATACAGCTATACTAGGGGGGATGCTTCGAATTGGTAGATGATGTGGTCTGATGCTCGCAGTTCGCGGCCTAGGTGCTAACTATACCACATAACAAGACCCATGTGGTAGGTTAGCGAATAGGTGTTAAGACACATTGCAGTGGCTACGTGGTTGTAAGTACTGGTTAAGCTCACTCTCATCTTCCTTCACAAGAGCAGTAGAGCCTCTATACAGATTCCAGATAATGAGAGCTGGATCACTAAAAATCTGAAAACGCCTCGAGCTACTAGTTTAAGTAGGCTAGCTACATGCTCCGAAGTACCTAGCATCATAATGTACAAGTTCTGGGAAGTATCAGTAACCCCCATTTGTATGCTATATATGTACTCTATGTATTTTGTCACACTTATACTTATCATTCAGTGTAGTTCGATTCACGAGGACGCTCCAGGCGAGGTTTGAGAGTGTCCTCGAGATGTCTCGTCCTCGTTGACCTCTGTTCTTGTCTGACCGCGACGTCCAACATCGTTGTCCTCGAGGTTCCCCGAGGCAAGGACAGGTAGTGTCATCGAGACTCCTTGTTCATTGTTTTTTTTTTTTTTTTTTAGACCATTAACCTTATATGTCATCGAAGACACGTCCTTAAGGCAAGAACACAAGGACGCTTGTTCTCGTGGACCACACTATTATCATTTAAAAGCTGGCGTGCTTTATTAACTGGGATATGTAGTGCACGCTATAATTTATAAATTGTGGTTCGAACATTCGATTTGTTGATTCTATTAAAATCTCGCAATTGAATCAAATGATAGTTATGCGTACGATTTATCACAGCTTGAAATTTATTTCTCGAATCGGTTCCAACCATACACCAAATTGGCCCGAGATACGTTTATGGAAGAAGCTAGTCTCAGGAATATATGTGGCGCAGCTAGAAGAGCCTTCTAATTATCCTTTCAGTAGTGCAGGGATTATGGTCTGGGTTTGAATCGATTTCGAATTTTGTGCGATTAGTCAAATCAAATCGTGGTTTTGATTTGGTGCCGCGCCGCGCCGGCAATTGATTCTTTGATTATATTAGATTTAGGGCGTTCTAAGTCGACTCAAAATCGAACCATGATGCAGTTAATTGGGGATTCCGTGCAGAGGTACGTCACGTCGTGTTGAGGATAAGTGCACTAGCGCCAAAATTTGAGGTGTCAATGATAGCAACCGCACCAAGACGCCCATTCTATGTGAGCCAACTAATCCCAATTTGGCCAAAATATTAGAGCCCCCTTCTAACGGCCCTCTGCCAACGCCGAGATTTGGGCGAGTACTGCAGTATTGCTATTTCTCGTTCTCTTCTTCTCTTTATTTTTTCATCCATCCGACGTTCTCTCCCTCCTCACTCTTCATCTTCATCATCACATCCAGACATCAATTCTTGGTGCTCGTCATCATCAATCTTCTTGCCAGTCATCAATTCTTTCTTCTCTTACTTGTGCTCCAAGTGTCTGGCACTAGTGCTCTTCTTTCTCTTTCCAACCCACGAACTTTTTCTCTCTCAACACAAAACTTCTTTTCTCCCACCAACACCAACACCAACACCAACCATCTTCTTCTACCATCCCCTCTAATACCCCCCTCCGTACCACCTCTTTAAAAAACCTCCCCCACCCCAAATTGACAAATAAATTGAAAATGGCAAACAACAATGAACGCAACGATCGCATGTACAGAAACCGTGATAGATCTATATCTCCGAGAGATAGGAAAGGCCGAGTCAGGTCTAGATCCCCGAGAGATCCCCAGAGAGGAAACGAGAATAGGGCTGGCGCGAATGTATGTATAAACCTAAATCTATCTTGGCTTCATTTTGTTCTCTTTTTTTTTCAAAAAAAAAAAAAAAAAAAAAAAACCTTTTCTTTTATTCTTTGCTGTTGCATCATCATATGATTGCGCTACTTCTGTATCGTATCGTATCGTGTGGGATGAAGCTGAGGCCAGCTCGTCTCAAAACTGAATTTGAAGGAACGATTACTTGGAGAACATTCCACTGACGCCAGCCCCAAAACCAGAATCGAAACAAAAGTCAAGGCCAGAGCCATAGCCGCAGTCTGCAGCAAGAGCGGGAGAGGAACGAAAGGCTCAGGGCTGTCCTCAACAGGGTAAAGAGAGAGTCTGCAGCCCGGGGAATGAATGATGATAGGGTACGTACATGTGTTTCTCTAGCTGTTTTCTCTCTCCGTCATCTATGCTACTGCACGCATATAGAGATCAGAGGCAGATATCTAGTGACGTTTATATAACTATATGTATATAAGAAACACTCACTAACACCCCCAACCTACAGAACCAAGCTCAAAACCAGGCCCAACCCAGAGCGGCTCGTAGACCAAACTCAAACTCTGCTCGTTCCGCCCGCCCCTACATCCCTAATTCTGCCCGCACCTCCAACGACTGGATCGCCGACCGCGAACAACAGCGTCGTGCCCGCCGCAATAACTATGGCAGAGCCGATAACCCTGTAGTCATTGAAGACGACGAGCAGGAAGATGTTCCAAGACCCGCCGCACCTCTTCTGCGCAATGAAAATCGCGAGGCCCCGATTGTCGTCCAGGATGCTCCGCGTGCGAGGATTGCCGCTGCTGTTCCAGCTGATGTTGCTCCAGCTGATGTTGCTCCAGCTGATGTTGCTCCAGCTGATGTTGCTCCAGCTGATGTTGCTCCAGCTGCCCCGATTGTTGATGCTCCAGTCGTTGCTCCAGTCGTTGCTCCAGTCGCGGTACCAGTCGCTGCACGAGTCGCTCCACGGGTCCCCGCTCCAGTCGCTCCACGGGTCGCTGTACCAGTTCCTGTGTCTCCAATCCGAGCCTTCGCTGTCCGCCGCCGCCCCCCACCAGTTTTCCACCCCGCTCCTGCCGGCTACAATCCTCAACCTCTCGGTCTTCTTCGCCCCAACGCACCTGTTTTCTTCGCTGCCCCACCTGTTCCCCAGGACGACATTCATTTCCCCCCCCCTCCTCCGTACATGGGCCCATTCCACCAGCCGAGAGGCAACGTGATCATGGAGCCTCGCAATTTTGGGGGGGGGATGTTCGCGCGCCGGGATTATGGCGAACCGCCGGGGATTCTTTATTACGATGATGGTCCGATGGAGCGAGCTCATTATTTTTATGACCCTCCTGCTCATCCTCCTGTTGCTCCTGCTCATCCTCCTGTTGCTCCTGCTCATGCCCCTGCTCATGCCCCTGCCCGCCCAGCAGTTGTAGCGCCAGCAGATGAGGCGCCAGCAGATGAAGCCCCCGGGCCACCACCAGACCGCCGCCGCTTGCAAGAATACAATGTTCTCCCCGTCCCCGTCAACCTCGGCTTCCCCCACGAATGGACCCGTATCCACGACGAGAGCCTCGCAACGCTCCTCCGCGCCCGCATCGAGGTACATACCGCGCGCTGGCTCGCCATCACAAACGCCAACAACGGTCTCCGCGACGCCCATCCCAACCACCACCACCTTGCGCCCCCAGAGCCCTTCGAGAGCGACACCTTCACGGACCCCGGCGATGACGACGAGGAGCTCGACGCCCCAGAGGTGCCCGAGGGCGAGCACTGCAACACCTGCATGGACAGGCGCGCGAACGTGCAGTTCAACTGCCGCGGCAGGGTTGGCGGCGAGCCGCATTCGGCGTGCACGCGCTGTGTCATGGAGATATGGCGGGCCAAGGTCGGCATGGGCCGGATTGAGCGGGACCTGAATCCGCTGGCGTCGTACTTGGTGTGCCCGGTGTGTAGGGCCCACGTGACCCAGTTGACGGCGGATAATGAGCTGGGCGAGTTTTCGGAGGCGATGGTCGCAGGCAGGTATGTGCCGGTGGTGGAGGGGCAGGAGACGGAGTGGGTTTCTATCAGGCCGTGGATCGCGAGGCGGTCGCAGAGGTATGCGAAGAGGATTGAGAGGCAGGTTGGGGGGGGTAGGGGTCGGAGAGCGGGTTGGGCGCCGTATTGAGAGTATTTCTTTTTTAGATTAGAGGCCTGCATTGTTAGAATCAATAAATAGTATGTTCTTTGGGATCTTGTAGTCTTCTCTTGGGCCGTGAATAGCTTTGAGTTGTGGGTAGTTTTCTATCGTGAATTGTGAATAGTTTGCGTGTGCTCGAATGTGGCAACCTGATCATTGACTGTGGTCACACAACAACCGAGTGACCGTCTGTGAATCAAATACAAACTGTGCCCAATCCATCTCCCATTCCAGAGTAGTTCCCACTTCAATAACCCCGCATCTCATCTAAGCTCTCACAGCTCCTCACAAAACTAGTGATTCCCGCCGTCTCCAAAACCCATCCCGTCACCCCTCACCACACCGACCCTCGTCACACCCGCATCACGGTGGCGCAGCGCCACACCATGTACCAGCCACCCGCCGCACCGCCGCACCGCCACACGCGCGCGTAGAGTGCTTTCGCGCCCTTGTCTTTTTGCTACTTCGCTCGACCTGCGACACGAATTCTATTCACGTACCCACGAACGCGTCTCCACACGAATCTCGCCCGCCAAACTCACAATTCTAAGATTCTCGATACAAGCCTCTACAAGCCTCTACACTTTCGCTACAACTCTCTAGAACTCGAACATTCTCGCCACAGCTGCACAACTGCACCTGAACACTCTGCAGCTTCGCTCTACACCTGTCTACGAACACTTCTGGACCTCCGCTGATGACCTGAACCACAAGGCGGTGCGGTACAAATAGATCAATGGCTTCACGGGAGGGCGAGAACGGCGCCGGGGGTGACAATGTGGTCAATGCGGCCAACGGGGGTGAAAATACCGCGGCGGTCAACGGGGGTGGAAATGGCGGGAGTGCAGCACAAGTACCGGTTCCAGCACCAGCACCAGCACCAGCACCAGCACCGGCGACGGTGTTTCCGCTGTTTGATCTCAAGAAACGTACTCCCCCCATTCTACTCCCTTCTTCCCCCACTCACGCACTCGAAACTTGAAGGCGGTTAAAAAGGGAGAGCAAGAGCAAGAGCAAGAGGAACTGACACTGGCAATGTATGTACAGGCAAAGAACTCCACCAAAAACCACCCCCCCCACCACCCACACGCAAATCCCGCGCCCCCCGCTCCACCACGCCCACCTCCTCCTCCCTCTCAGACAACGAGTCACCCGCCCCCACCTCCACCTCCACCTCCACCACCACCACCACCGCCGCAAAGAAAAAGCAAAACCCAAAACAACCCGCAAAGCCCAAATGCCGCCCCAAAGACGACCCCGACGGCGACTTCTCCGCCGCAAAGCCGCGGCCGCGCAGGGCGCCGCGCAGAGCGGGCGCGAAGAAGAAGCTGCTGAAGCCGCCCAAGGACACGGCGAAGAAGGACGAGAAGGAGGAGAAGGAGGAGGGGGGGATGGCCGAGACGCCGTTTCTGACGCCTACGTCGTCGCCGCCGGCGATGGACTGTGGTAGTGGCGATGACATGGACGTGGACGAGGTGGATCTCGGCCGCGGCCGTCGCAAGCGCCGGCGGAAGACGCCGGTCGAGGAGCTTGCGGGGGCTGTACCGTCGTCGCCGGCGGTGGTGGCGCAGATGGGGGCGCTCGCGGTGTCGCAGCCGCAGTCGCAGTCGCCGCGTCGGGAGCAGCAGAGGGCGGATGCGTTTGGCGTGCTGATGGGTAGGCGGAGCAACGCGGAGCGGAAAGAGGAGACTGTGGGGGTGGACTTGGAGCAGGAAGAAGAAGAGGAAGAGGAAGATGAGCCCATGCTGCCCCTGCACGCACCGGAGGCGGCGGGCGCGCGGAAGAGGATACCGGTGTCGTGGGACTCGGAGACGGGGATGCTGACGATAAGGAGTAGTCCAGGCTTGTTGCCGTCGAGTCCGGCGCTGGGGCCGATTAGTGTGCTGGATTTGACGGCGAGGAGTGATTTCGACATAGGGGACGGGGACGGGGACGGGGAGGGGGAAGGGGGGGGAGGGGGGGGAGTGCTGATGGGCCTGGGGAGGAGGAGGAGGGCGACCGCGAGGTATGATCCGGGCACGGGCATCCTGAGTATCAAGAGCAGCCCGATCCTCGCGCCGGAGAGTGGCCTTGATGCTGTTCCTGATAGCGATTTCTGCCTTTTGGACCATGAACAACAGCAGGAAGAGGATGATAAAAAACTACCACTGCCACCTCCGGGCGAGTCTATGGAGACATCACAGCCCGAAAGCACAGCAAAACGGACATCCGCAAAATACGACACCACCACCGGCCTGCTCATCATCAGCAGCCCCATCATAGGCCCTATAAAAACGCCCGAGCTGCGGCCCAAGAGCGCGTTCAGCCTGCTCGGGAAAAAGAAGAAAGAACCCCCACCTCCGCCTGCCCCAACAACTGCTCCTTCCCAGACAGCAGCACCGCCGGTACAGGAGCCACTGCCGACAGTCACGGTGCGGCAGGCGCCAAAGAAGGTGGCCGGCTCGCAGACCGGGAAGAGCGTGCACCCGTTCTTCAAGCCCGGGGGCCTCAAGAAAGTCCCCTCACCCCCAACCCAGCCCCAATCCGACCCCGAGGAAGAGGTCACCGTCAACTCCCAGCCCCCACGGAGCATCTTCAGCGCCACCCCAGGCCCAGCCCCCACCCTCAGCGCCTTCGCCAGCACCGCCAAGGTCGCAGTCCCATGGGACATCCCGTGGCCGACGCGCGCGAACTGCCACATCCGCGACCTCCCCGCCACCCCGCTCCTGCCGCCAGCAGACGTGCGCCTGCCGCCCACCGACCGCAAGCGCAAGGAGCGCGCCGTCGTCGTGCCCGGCGCCGAAGACGTCCTGCAGCAGCTCGCGCGCACGCTGCGTGTCCCGCGCGTGGCCCGCGAGATCGCGGCGCACGACTACTACACGCGCCGCTACTACGACGTGCCGGGCGATGTGCGCCTGCCGGGGCGGATCGTGACGACGGGGAGCGAGCTGCAGGCGATGGTCAGGAGCCAGGTAGCCAGTCGGCTGCCGCACCCGGAGAGGGCGGCGGATGGGGGCGGGGGCGGGAAGGTGCACCCGGGGCTGCTGAGGCTGTATCGGAGGTTGAAGAACGAGCTGACGCCGTTCGACGTGAGTGAGTGCGAGACGAGCTGCTGGGAGGTCAAGTATGCGCCGGAGAGCGCGGGCGAGGTGCTGCAGACGGGGAAGGAGACGCAGGTATTGAGGGACTGGCTGCTGGCGCTGAAGGTGGAGAGCGTGGCGCCGGCGCCGGCGTCGGCGTCGGCCGCGAGGGCGACGAAGCGGAAGACGAGGAGCGTGAAGGGCGCTGCGGCAAAGAAGCGCAAGAAGAAGAAGGACGCGGAGTTGTCGGACTTCATCATCGACAGCGAGGAGGAGCGCGACGAGATGAACGAGATCTCGGACGCGGAGGACAGCAACAGCGGCAGCGGCAGCGGCGTGTTCGGGGCCAAGAAGTCGACGATCCGCGCGGGTGATAAGGGCGGTGATTGCCCGTTCGGCGGGCCGAAGGAGCCCGGGAGGCTGGTCAACGCGGTGGTCATCAGCGGGCCCAACGGGTGCGGGAAGACGGCGGCCGTGTATGCGATTGCGAAGGAGGCGGGGTTCACGGTGTTTGAGGTGTCGCCGGGCATGCGGCGGAACGGGAAGGACATCGTTGACCAGGTGGGCGAGATGAGTAGGACGCATCTCGTGCACCAGGCCAAGGCTGCCGCGCCCGAGGCGGGGGCGTTCTTCAAGCCGAAATCGGCGCGGGAGGAGGAGGCGGCGGTGGCAGTGGGGGTGGGGGTGGGGGGGCAAAAGGCGGCGCCGGCAGCGCAGCAGCAGCAGTCGTTGATCCTGATTGAGGAGGCCGATGTGCTCTTCGACGAGGACAAGAACTTCTGGTCGAGCGTGCAGACGCTCATGGCGCAGAGCAAGCGCCCCATCGTGTTCACTTGCAACGACGAGAGCCTCCTCCCCATCAGCAGCCTCTCGCTGCACGCCGTTCTGCGCTTCACCCCGCCGCCCAGAGACCTGCTGGTCGACAATCTCGTGCTGATGTGCGCGAACGAGGGACACCTGCTGGAGCGCGAGAGCGTGCAGAGCCTCGTCGCGGCGAAGAAAGACGATATGAGGGCTGCCCTTGTAGAGCTGGAGTTCTGGTGCCGCCTGGGGCTGGGGGACCGGAAGGGGGGATTGGACTGGATGGTGATGCGGTGGCCGGAGGGGGTGGATGTGGCGGACAATGGCGAGCGGATGAGGGTCGTGAGCGAGGGGACGTACCTGAAGGGCATGGGCGCGTTTGATCGTGTGCCCAGGGGGGGGCAGCGCAGGTTGAGGGATGCGTGGGAGATGTGGGGGGTGGATGTCGGGCCTGCGGACGGCGGGGAGGAGCTGGCGAGGGAGATGCGCGGCGGGGAGGGCATGCATGTGGCGGGGGCGCTGCGGACTTGCGAGGAGTATGCGGAGGCGTTGAGTGCCGTGGATGTGTATGCGGGCGCCTCCATGCGGGGCTTTGATGAGGTGAACCATAGATATTCTCCTATTCCTACTGTTGTGTTGGTGGTTTGTGTAGTTACTGACTGGTAATGATCGAGGTGCAGCAATTCATGGACAGCACGCAGCCGCCCCCCAGCGCCAAAGTCCGCGCAGACGATCTCCAGGGCCACACAACGCTGCGCGAAGACCCCCTCGACCGCCTCTACACCGTGGGCACCGACCTGGCCACCACCGTGCGCTACCTCGCGAAGCGCCACCTCTACGGCGGCAAGTACACCGCGCTCAAGGACAGCCAGCTCGTGGACCTCATCACGCAGCGGGGACGCATCAAGAAAGAACTAGCGTAAGCGCCCCCCCCTCCCCCCCCTCCTTTCTCCCTAGAACAGTGCAGTGCTAATAACCAACCAGACCACTATCACCCCACTACCTGACCGAGACCTTCCGCCCCCTCTCGTACGCGTCGACCGTTTTTGCGACGACCCCCGCGATCGTGCATTCGGCGATCAATAGGACGCCGGCCGTGCTGATGCTGGATGTGGCGCCGTACGTGCGTGGTATTGTGCGGCATGATGCGCGGCAGGCGGAGCTGCGGGTTAGGGCGAGTGGGCTGCTGTCTGCTGGTGGCGGCGGGAGGGTGACGAGGACGGCGAGGAACGCAGGGGAGGGCGGGGATCGGAGGAGGAGGGATAGGTGGCTGGGGGTGGCGGGGGTGGAGGCGGGGATGGTGCTGGGGAGTGGGGGGGTGGGGTGGGGTGCGGGTGCGGGGGCGGAGGAGGAGGAGGAGGAGGAGGAGGAGGGGGATGGGGAGAGGGATGGGGAGTATGAGTTGGAGGAGGAGGAGTTAGACTAGTGGGTGGGGCGTTCTTTTTTTGTATTTTTTGTATTTTTTTTTTTTTTTTTTTGTGCGTTGATAATGGGTTTTTTTTTTTCTTTTCTTTCGCTACTTTTACTTTGCTTTTGCTTGTGGCTTGGGATGAGGGGGAGGATAATTGCGGCGGACTGTATACTACATGTATCTAGCTAGACGTCTCCCCGCCCACCCTACACCACCCTCCTCCCTGCTTCTTCACCCGCCTACCTAAGTACTCACCCACCCTCATGCTACCCACATACCTTCCCACACGCATCACATTGCATTGCATCATATCGCATCATTCATGTACCACTTACAGTTACGATAATCACGATCGATCGAGTAGACCTTTTACTTGCTATACCTGCATACAGTAGTTAGTAATAGTACTTATATAGCAGACAGACATATCTGGACAGAAGTTATAATTGTTGAATTAGAGATGCCTGGCTGCATGGCTGGTTGGGTGGGTAGGTGTTGGGTGGGTGGTAATATATGGCGTTTTTAGAGGGAGGTTTTTTCTTTTGGATACTTGAATACAAAGCACGAGAAAAAAAGAAGAAAAACGCTCAATTCCAAACCCCAAACTCCAGGGAGTACAAAAAACAAAAACCTAGTGACCCAAGATCAGTTTACACAAACCCTTACGTTCTGCATAACCCTCCTGCCTAGGAAGTGAGCCGAACCGGGGATCACCGGGTTAAGCTGCCTCGGGAACCGTACCCCAATACCGCTAGGCCATTGGGAGGTTCGGTGTTTCAAACTGCAGCAATATAATGAGCCAAACCTTTAATTGAGCAGCCAGGTCTTGTTTGGGTCTTGGCTCACAACTGCTCACTCGATTCTTCTCAAGCCTGGCATTAAGACGAGACGGGACCGGCACCCTCGAGGCAAGACTGGGCCTCAGTCTCGTCACGAACGGTGTCGTGGAGAACACTACACGGTGCATGTGGATTGGGGTGGGGTACACGTGGTTGGGGATGGGGCGAAGTGAATAGAAGGAAGATGATTGCAAATGGTGATTACAGATGAAGTAGGAGTAATTCAATGGGTATATGAAGCGCTGAGGGAACTGACTGGTTTTATAAACCAATACCCTACTACAGCTACAGGCAGTTGGATCCTCAGGATATTTGCTTCTATTGTTCTACAGACACTGACTCACATACTAACTTACACAAAAGCGCTACCAACCCTCAGCCCCAAGCCAAAACCAAAACCAAAAACAACAATAATTATACCACCAACATCCATGTCCACCTACGCCGCTGAAATTGAGGCAATCCTCGCCGCCGTCCGCGCACGCATAGAGGCCGAGGAAGGGGAAAGATATGAAATTGTCGAACTGAGTGGCGACCCGATGCCAGATGCACCTACCACCGCAGCACCTGGAATGGCGGAATTTTATGGCTATGGCCGCCGGTTGGAAGATATTGGGGAGGAGCAGCAGGAGCAGCAGGGGGAGGAGGAGCAGCAGGAGGGGGAGGGGCAGCAGGAGCAGCAGCAGCAGCAGGAGGAGGGGTATGTGAACCGTTATGCGACGAACGAGGATATTGCAAGGGAGCTGGGGATCCCAGGGTTTGGTGGACGTATGATCCCCTAATTTCTCTATACATTTTGGAATCACCTACTAACGAACTAACCAACATACAGTCAACACGATCCCCCATCCCCGCCGCGCCCTCTTCCCCCCACCTCCCACCCCGCTCTCCGAGTCCGAGTCCGAGCCCGAAGACACTACCGTCCCGGAGCACATGCAGTGCGGCATCTGCCTGTGCCGCCAGATCACGCTCGCGTACAACGGGTGCACGCATGGCGCGTGCAGGACGTGTGTCAAGCGGATTTGTGCGACGCAGGGCCCGCAAAGCACGTTTCCGTGCCATGTGTGTCGCGCCTTGGTAGCGGAGGTGGGACCGCTGGTGGAGAGGGAGGGGGCGGAGGGGCTGCGGTGGAGTGGGTGGGATGTCGAGCGCTGGGTGCCGGTGGTGGAGTGGGTGATGGGGGTGTCAGCGAGGGTGAGAGGGAGGTGGGGGAGGTGGTTGTAGGCGGTGGGTGGGGGGTGAGCGTGCTAGTTTGGGTGGTTTACTTTTTGTGTTAGATAGCTGTGATGGTGAAGATGTAATCACTAGAACTTGGCCTATAATTCGTAGAACTTAGGACGTAATTTTAAAGACTTGCGCTGCAATTCATAGAGCTTAGAATCATTTCTACACTCTCAAAAGCATACAGTCTCCATTCGTAACTCCAACCCCGAGTACTTCTTTCTTAGACGCCAACTCTCTCAGCCAGAATCAATTGCAACGTCAATACGGCCTCCCCCTCCAAACAACCCCATCACAAAATATCACTCGACGACCAAATCCACCGCAACCCACCAACCTCGAAACCAACAGCTACAATTCATCCGAGTCCATATGCTGAGGCTTGGAGTGGCTGCCCTTATATGCTGGGTTGCATGAGTAAGCCCCACACACCAAAGCCCAACACAAAATACCCACCCGCGCCGAGCCCGAGTGATAAGCTATGACGAACCGGACACCCGCCGTTCTACACTTGCGTCCAGGTGAGTACAGTAGATGCTGTTGGTGGGGAGGAAGCCACTGTATTGGGCTTCGCTTCCATGGATTCTACACCCGCTTATGGCCACCATGGAACACAGAAACCTCCTCTGGATGCATGCAGTTACTTTACAACCTCCCGTTCCAGTCTATAGCCAATACGCCCACAGCTTGGCTGGCCCTGAAAATAACTGTGTTTAGCTCACTGGACTTGAGTAGGTGCGGGAGTTGGTATAAGTACTGTTAGTCTGGTTTGGCCGTAGTCTACGAAAATAGTATAAAACGTACCACCAAACAAACCACGCCGTGAATGAACCCCGCGCCCCATCCACACCCGCCGCAATCTTTCAATAACGCACCAAGTACTCTGGTGGTTACCTACTTTGATTACTAGTACAGTCGACTCTCCCTATAAGGGTACAAAAATACCGCGAGGTCGTACCCTTATCCCATGAACCGTAGAGGCCTGAGGTTCCAATTGGGTACTTTGCAACTCCAACCTCGACAAAAACACAAAAACGATATAATTCAGCCCTGTTTACTGATAAGAAAGAAGCGGGAAAGATTATTAAGCGATCCCAATAACAGCTCTTAATATAGTACTCACGGAGCTGGTGTTGCTGTGAATTTGAGAAGGGTAACTTTATTTCAAGTGGAACCCAATTGGGTCCTTAACTCGGTTGCTACGGTTGATGGGATAGAGCAGTTACCCTTATAGATATTTCAGGGTTAGGTTTGGCAGAGTAGAAAGTTCACTTTTGGGGTGAAGGGTTCGCGCAACACTGAATTTGGTAGAGTGGGAAGTTCGCGGAACTTCACTTTTGGCGGCTAAACCATTACTCTTTAGTAACGGAAATTTCGCTTTTTGGTGGTGCAACTTTCAATCTTAGCAGAACATTTTTTACTTTTTGAGGGCGAAGGGTCCCAACTTCCACTCAAGAGTCACTCTCTCAATAAGGGTAACACACCAAAAAATTGGAAAAAGTACTAAGGGTATTCTTATGGTGAAAAGATGAGCATTTACCCTTAACACTACATACTAAAAAAAAGTAGCCTGTAGACCGGGCTCCTTATAGGGCGAGTATTCTTATAGAGGGTACCCTTATATGGAGAGTCGACTGTACCATGCCATGCCCTTTCTTTTACTCAAGGGTATGGATGTGGATGTGTGGGAGTGCCAATCCCCAGGCGGTTTGGCTCATTACATTGCTACAGTTAGAAACACCGAACCTCCCAATGGCCTAGCGGTATTGGGGTACGGTTCCCGAGGCAGCTTAACCGGGTGACCCTCGGTTCGGCTCACTTCCTAGGCAGGAGGGTTATGCAAAACGTAAAGGATTGTGTAAACTTCTTGGGTCACTAGGTTTTTGTTTTTGTACTCTCTGGCGTTTGGGGTTTGGAATTGTGCGTTTTTCTTCTTTTTATTTCTTGTGATTTGTATTCAAATCTTGGAATTGACCACACACCCGTGTTGACCATACCTCTGTGAAGGCGTCTATGAATGTACTTGGAGTATATATAGAGGTCCATCCATACAAGTTATCACCCACACACATGGACATATACAGATGGATGGAGGAAAGACTACAGATGCACACTCAAATTATCACCTTCGTGCTGCGCACCACCACTCGCCCTCACCCACCTCATACCCAGCTCCCAACTTCTCAAGCGCTCAAAAGAACAAGCAACAAGAAAACAATAAACAGGCTAGAATGTTCATAACATCGTGACAAACAACAACAAAAAAACGCAGAATCCCACCCAGGCTACACATCATCTCGAGTACGTACAGCATAACAAAAACACACAACACGCGCAAAAACAGAAACAGAAACAGAGAAAAAAAAGGCGGATAAATGAATTATTATCCCAAAACAAGAACAAGAATAGAAGGCGGGAGGAGGAGGAGGAGGAGGATGGCTAACGATGAACAAACAAACAAAACCCAGTAAATTAGTCTACCACTCTACTCGCCTAATGGCATTTCTTCAACTTCGTTACAGAGTGCCCTCCAATTATCCGCCTGCAGCTCCGCGTATTTGACTCTCTCCTGGCTCCAATCCTGGTGCAACCTATTCCACCGCCCCCGTTAGTTATCTATTCACCCCTACTCAAAGAAAGGAATCACAGCAACATACCTCGAAACATGATACTGGCTGCTCTGGAAATGGATCAGCTCATCCCTAACACACTCCTTCACAAACACCCTCCTATTAAGCATCTCCACGATGCTCGCCTTATCCCTCACAATACTCTCCTCGACCCTCTCCCTCTCACCGGGCTTCACCGTGCCCTCCGGCTTGTTCCTCAGCGCCTCCAGCTTCGCCTGACTCGTCTTAATGCGTCTCTCCAGCTGCGGCACATTATCGACAGCCAGGCGCTCCTTGCGGTCAAACAGCTCTCTCATGCTCACCAGGCAGTCGCGCTGGCGCTTGAGGTCCTCCAAGATGCCGGCATCCCACGCCTTGGTCTCGTCCTCGAGCAGCGTCTGGCAGTTTGACAGGTGCTGCGAGACGGCGAGGAGCCCATTGTTCAAGAGCGGGATCTCGTTGGTGTCGACGGCGTATGTGGCCTCGCTGCAGTCGGTGAGGGAGCGGAGCGCAAGGCTGAAGCGGAGGTAGTCGGCGGCAATGCCTTCGTTGCGCTTCTCGAGGCGTTCGAGGAGGCTGCAGAGCTGGATGTAGATCTCGCTGGACTTGCGGAGGCCGCTGCGCACAGTGTCGAATGTCTGCTCGAGGTTCACGGGGAGGCTGTCTTCGAGACCCGGAGGAAGAGGCTTGCCGGCGAATTCTTCTTGCATGGAGATGGTGGTTTGCTTCCGCCAAACGGTGAGCTCCGTGGGCACTGTGAGGAACATGATGACGAGTTGCTCCTGGGAGAGGACGGGGTGGCGCACGAGGGCGTTGGCGAAGCGGAAGAGGCCGCGGCGGCGGCGCTCGACGAAGGCGGCGTCGGCTGAGAGGTAGTGGCCGTTAACTGAGTTCGGACAGACGTTATTTCTGCTGTGATAGCACAATGGCATGTGCCACTAGGGAGAGAGGATCTTACCAGCTAGTCTTTTGGGGGGTAGGAGAGGCAATTGGCGGAAGGGGTAGCGTTTATGCAGACATTCAAGAAGCCTGTCTAGTTAGCATCATCTACCAATAACCAAAAAATAAATAAAAGACATACCAGACAAAATCACTATATCTTCGCACAACCCTGCTGCCCCGTCTCGCACTTGCAATCTGATAATTGCGATGTTGGAACATGAACATGCCCTCCTTCTCGGGCAGCACCGACACTGTGACAACCTCTTCTGGCCCCCTACTCGGCACCCCCGACTCAGACTGAATGGTGGTTCCGCCGAGGCCTCCAAACGACCCATGCCGCGCCGGCGCACTCGGCTCCGAAAACAAGGACGGATTATACCCACCCGTCTCTGCGTGCGGGCCGCCTTCATAGGCCCCCCACGCTGACGACGCGCTTGTGCGGTTCGCGTTATTGTTTCGGAGCGCCGAGTGGATGTCGTCAGGCTCGAGCTCCGAGTCGTCGATCTGGTTGCGTATGCGCGTCGGCGACGAGTACGGTTCGTTGCGGCCTAGGGAGCTGGCGCGGCCGTGCGAGTCGCCGCGGACATGTGTGCTTGCGGGGCGCGCGGACGCGGAAGGCTGGTAATTAAAGGAGTTGGTGCGCTCTGCGGTCGGGCTGGTTTGATGTACGCTTACGGGGGCCTCGACAACGGGAGGCGCGGTGTGGCTTTGTACTACTGCGGGGCTGCTACCCCAGGGGTCTTCGACTTCGTCAACGAACTTCGAGGTGCGCGTGCGGATAGGAGAGGTGCTAATGGGTGTTGACTGCTGGCGGTGGACTATAAGAGGCTTTATGGAGCTTGGTGAGGTCGGCTGGTCCTGTGATTGGTCGTGGACAGAGTGCGGGGCGGTATTGGCGGACTTGTGGGTTGAAGATGCAAGAGACGTTGTAGGGGTCTCGACGCCTGGCCCGCGATGATGCTGTCGAGCTACGATCGTAGTAAATCTTGGGATTGGAAGATCTAGCTCTACAATTAGCGCCGTCCAATGGCGAGTGAGCGGGGGAGGGGGGTTAGCAAACTCACTTCTCCTCCTATAGTCGACCCCATCAATACTGATCTCGTCGCCCTCCTGCGCCAGCCCGATCATAGCCAGAAGCACATTGACCTCATCCCTACCTACACTCTCCTTCCCGCCTCTCATGATGACTCCCCAAATCCTCTCCCTTGCCGTAGAGTCAACCCCGGCCTCGAGCAGTATCTTCCCCACGCCCTCCACGGAGATGCCATTCGGCGCCGCATACTGTGCCAGCAGTGCGTCGTAGTAGTCTACATACTCCTCAGGGATACTCGCATTCTCAGGCGTCAGCAGCGTCTTTGTGATGTCGCTGTCGGCTCCACGGCGCGGCACCGGCAGTCCCGTGGCCCATGGATCAGGCCCAGAGTCGTCAAAGAGCGAGCCTGAGCCTGGCGTCGCGGTCGTGAAGTCGTCGTCGAAGAGGGAGGAGCGCGAGCGCGCAGCGGGGGGAGGGGAGTCGCCAAAGATGGACATTTGTTGTGGTTTGGTGGTGATGGGTTGTGGTGCGGGGATGTGGAGGTGGTGGTGTCGGGCTAGCTGGTGGTCGGGTTAGCTCTCTTTGGTCTGGTTGGTTGTTATCTCCACCGTCGGACTACCCGGCGGCTAGCTTGGAGAGTTACCTAGGTAACTGTTGTAGCTTGCTATGTGGGATGAGCTTCTTCTTCCTCTCAGATTCTGGCAGCGAATTAGGAGAGGGATATCTGATTGTTTGGAAGAGTCTCACGGTGCTGTCTCTTTGGGCGGAGAGAGACAGACAGACTCAGGTGGATGTTTTTATGTCGTGGAGTGGTGTTGACGTTGCAGCAGCGAGAGAGAGGGAGGAGGGAGGATGCGTGCGTTGCGTTGCGTTGCGCTTGTCTTGTCACACCTGCAACAACATCCCTGCAAGCCACACCCAGCCACTTGCACAAAACGGGCGCTGATGATGTCAACCTGATCATTGGTGGGGTGATAGCTCATGAAGCTGAAGAAGCTGGACACTGAAGAAGAAGAAGAAGACACACCTAAGTACCCGCGCTTTACGCAGACGCCAGATTGTAGGTGAACATGTAGTCATTTAGACCATTTTAAAGCGCCAAAGCCCAAAATGCTTCACCACGAGCTATCTCCACAGCTAACTAACCATCAAGCTCCGTCACGAACGTCATTACATGACCCACCTACATAGCTCCTCCGCCCCCGATCTCCGACATCTGAGTCAGCAGTACATCCACCTCTTCCAAACGCCTACAAAACCACCCCGCGAGCGTAGCATGCAACCCCGCCTCTCACCGCACCGCAGCAAGGTTCTCACTCCCCTTACAGCTACCCAACTTACTTTAACTTACCCATGGACTTTCAGACACTAAATAAGGCCGGATACATACCAGAGCCATTCTTAAGAGGTGCCATCCCCGCCACTTCTACTAGCTCCCTACCTCCTAACTAACGATCAAAGACCCAGCCCCAGAAAAAGACCTCGAGGCCCAGCTCAAAGATGAATACAAGCCCACGGGGCTCAGCATAATCGTCATGAACTGCGTTGGTGCATGCTGCTGGCTACTCGAGTTCTGGATCATGTACGTTGTGTGGTGCTGGATTGAGGAGCTGCGGGCGCAGATTTGATGCGACGGTGTTCCTGGTGGCGTTTGGGTATGCTTTTTTGCGGCCGAGTGATTGTGTGTGATTGTAATGGGTTTAGTGGGTAACTCGGGATGCCTTTTTTTCCTTTTGTTCTTTCATTTTTTTATAGGCGTTGGGAAGGAATTTGATTATCCGGAAGGGTGGGAGTTTGGTCCCGTCAACATGTCAAGAGAGGTTCAAATGGATACATCTAAGTATTCACTCGAAGAATTCATGAGAACTGTACTCCTTGATTCTGCCGCCAAAATCCATAAATACACTCTCCAGGGATAGTAAATATCCATACCTTATCGGCGTGCTCTTTTCTTGTAGTATGGTAGAAACCAGGCGTATGAATGCTTATCGCTCTTACTTTATTTAGACACGACTCTTCTCGGTCCTCTTCCATCCTGGGGAGTATTAATCCAGCGGGTGCCAGTCTATTAACAGCCAGTCCTCCTACTACAACAAAAGACCCATACTATCTGTTCGATATCTGGTAAGTAGCTGGTATTTCCATGTCAATCGGCCCCTTATGGCATGAAAGGACGCGATAGTCATAGAGACATCGAATCACATCGCCCCAAGAAGAATCAGCGCCCAACCACCGAGAGCCTTTAGGGGCAAGATTTGACACTGCATGTCATTTTGGTGAGGGGAATATGTCGAGATCCACAGGGCAGTGGTGGTCGTCGTGCTATCCTAGATCCCCATAGACTCTTTCGTTACCTCCAATACAGCGCTGTGAGGCGGCAGTATCTTCTTATGCGTGTCCTACGCCTCCTCAAGCATACATGTAACTGTGGGGGCGGGGTCTTTCTCGATAAATATATCGGTCAACCCCATACCCATACCATGTACATACCGGTAGTCACCAGCCAGCGCCCCATAACACGCAGATTCTCAGAAAGTTAGGATTCTCGGATGCTGTGATGGTAGATGAAGTGGATTGACACTCGTGCTGGCTGCTGCGGCGGTGCGTCATGGCGTGTCACTCGCGCTGTGCTGCGGCTCTGAGAGGGAGGAGTGTTCTCGCTAGTGTTTTCTGGGTTTTGATTTAGACGGTGGGGTGGGTAGAGGGAGGGTTTGAGTGTAGTTGCGGCATATGGCCGGATGGTGGGGTGGTGCGTACGTTGGTGCGATGGTACGGTGTCACAGCATTACTTTTTGTGTATTTATTGCCCCCCTTTTTTTTGAGGGGCCTGAGGGCCTTAGTGGGGTATGTGTGATATCGATCAGAGCTCTCTGGCAGGCCTACAATCGCAGATCGAACTATCTTAGCTTCTCGCTCGTTATTTAGCCAATTAGTCTCCCCCATGGTCAGGGCCGGATGTAGGATTAGGCTGGTTTAGCGAAACTTTTTCGGGCCATATGTATTCTTTTATAGTATAGTAGATAGATATAGTAGATGTAGACCGTGCACGCAGCAACCACGACAATAAGAGCTATAAAACTTCCAACGTCGCCTTATACCCATCCATCCGTCAACAAGACATCGCAATACTAGAACTATACGCCCTATCCGTTCATCAACCACGTACGTTATTCCACTGGCTAAGTGTGTATACCGTTAGCTAAGGGCAGCAAGATTTCTAAATGGAGCGATCTTTTAGAGGCCCACGCTGGGTTAAATGCATATGGTTTGTTGATGTCTGAACTGTTTGCTGTAACTGACTATTTTTTAGCTATGTTTAGTGAAGAAAGATTGGATGACAGTGCTACATGTAGTTACACAGAGAATGCTCCCCTCCCATCTCCATCTAGTATCAATGCTTCCCAACACCCCACGCAGGAGACGCTCAAGCAGAGAGGAGGAGGGGGTCTGGAAACCGCTAATATTCTCCTCAAACCGAAGAGGTCAACAGTGCCGCCCTGCTCATCGGCTCACTAGCTTCATGAGAGATGGATGCCCATAGGTTACCGCACAACTGAACTTCTGATTAGACTCTTCACTAACTTGAAGAATAACTAGGTGTGCGCTTGGTCGGCGGCTCTATGTGAGTCTTTGAAAACTCTTCTTGTCAATGATAAATTCTACAGCCTCCTAATGCAGATGAAGTAGCCAAGCTATGAAGACTTTAAGCCGTGTGGAAACAGAAGAAAAAGACTAGGTTCAAGGAAAGAACAAAAGCTGGTCAGCTCGGTTTCATCTTCCAGTAGGGCACCACTCAACTCAGGCGAATTGGGCCACTAGTGCGTTATTGCAACTCCAGCATATTTTTCAAGCATAGAAGGTGCTGCACCTATATGTAGTTCTATGGATTATGGCCAGGTAGGACTCCGGGTTTGCAACTATTTCTGTCACGACCTCGAATTTAGAACACCGTCGAGTGATAGTTGGTGACCGAAGACCTTCTAGTACATTTATGGTCACACTACTACTGCTATAGGGGACAGTTTGCGTACCCGCCTCGTATCTACAGGATTAGCGAGATTTATAGTCGATTCATCGATTTGAGGGCGTAAAGATTCACTGAAATCGTGCTCCATTTCTTGGATTATCTCTTTAATTTGAAAATAAAGATCATAACTAACTAAACTACATAACTACCTGCGCGAACAGCACGGGAAAAGAAATAAAGATGTCTCATACACTCTAGTCAACCTATGACATGATTACATGGACACTGTTAAACGACAGGGTGTATAATGAAAATGAACCGTAAACCCGCAAAAGAAACAGCAAAAGAAAGACAGAGTGCGTTATATAACTCAAAAAAATGAACCTACGTCAAAGATGAACGGGAAAATGCAAATAACACTACTAGATATGGATGTAGAGTGGGTGCACAGCGTCTATTCTCATTGTAATAGATACTGAAAACTAACCTACTTAACCTGTCATGTACTCAAAGAAAATCGCCCATACCAGAATAATTAACAGGGCGATAAAAACCGAAAGAAAAAAAAAAAAAACGAAGACCTAAGCAATAAGGGTATCTCAAAATTAGCAGGCATTGCCCCGTTGCGCAAGAAAGCCCACCGCAATCAATTTCACTCGCCATACCTTGCCTTCCACATCCTTTGGATCCTCTCCGACACTTGGACAATCCACTCCAACACCTTCAGCCCCACTCCAACCACCTCTTCCCCATCAACGAGATCCACGGTATTCACCTTACCTTTACATTCCTGGCACCTCAGCCATGTCGGAAACCTCAGCCTCATCATCCTTCCTCTACACCACACCCGCTTTGCACAGCATACACAAGCGCCATGGCCGCACGATACATATACAACCTGAATATTTCTACGCTTGCACACACCACACACATTTTCTCCGAGCACAAACGCCGGATCCCCTTCCTCAGACTCGGAGCCTAGATCATATTGTGGCGGCGGCTGATAGACCTCCGCTTTCCCTCCCCCCTTACTTGGAAATCTTTGCATGATATCGTTGAAGCCTGTACCCTCCTTAACTTCCTCCTTCTCTACGACAGGTACTCCATCTTCAGAATCACAATGATCAAGATATGGATCATGATATATATCACTTGCCTTCTCATCGTCCTCAGATATGTCGTGCTCGGAGTCGAGTTCGTCATCGCCTATCGGGTAGTCGCGTTCTGTATCATCGTAGTCCATGTCACAATTACAATACCACCTGTGATTTTCTTCCCAGGGATTTTTATACTGGCGGCGTTCTTCTTTCCATGATTCTGCGTCGTCAGGGTCTTCCTCATGCTCACGTATAAAGTCGTCGTCGTCCATTGGTGTGAGTTAAGAGTTGTAGTATGTTGTTACCGGTTTAGCGGATTTGGAGCTTGGATATCTGATAGTGTGAACTTTGCCAGCTACTGCGGGAGGGAGGGTTATATATACGGACTCGGGTGAGTCTTCCCAGTAAGTCCTGTCAGCTTTGGAGAACATGAAACACTCTTCGAGGGTTGCCATTGAATGTGGAGTTCTTTCTTGCACATGCGGAGTGTTACTCAAATGATAGGAGGGAGAACGCGTAATTGGTGGCAAGCCCATAATGGTACGTGGGTGTGTATGTGGTTATACATATTGTAATACCGAGCAAAACTCGATCTCTTTGGTCTCGTACTCGCAATTACTACGCTATCTACTGAAACTGGTCAATTACTTATGACTACTAACTATAAAGACACCCCATGTGGCTAGCATTGATCGCCTTGTGATTTAGGATTTGACTAATTGGAATTAAGATATTTGTTAGAATATTTCCCCATTGAATTGAGCGCTATATCCTGTGCGGGCTTGTGTAGCGTAATCATGGAATATCACTCGTTCAAGGGAAACAGTTGATTGGTTGTCATGTTGCAAGGTGACCAATCTTTCCTGGAAATTTGTATAATATTTAAGGGCTACTTCTGCCTAACATAAGTGGGTACACTGAAAATCTCCGGCAGGTGTTGGGTGGGGTGGACCGGTGGGGGGGGCAAGCATTCTATGGCGGGTGTCGATCTGATAAAACCGTTCGCACAGCCAAATTCTTACTCTGATCGAAGTACTTTCGGGCCTGGGAGTTAAGTCCCCGGGTTGAGTTATTTTTATATGGGTTTATACGTGACATGATTTTTATATCATTACCAGGAGTTATTCTCCGGGGTTATTTATGATGGTCTAGAATATCTCATTAAGGGAGTCTAGAACTTACTATTGCCACATATTTTTAGTATATATAGTTCTATTATTTTACTATCATGTCGAATAATCAAGAAAATAATTACTGTATTTCCGCACATAAAAAACTACACGAAGATCAACATTGCTGCCGAGTGAGACCTTGTGATTACAGTGTTCGCACCATAATAAAATAAACGTGTTATCCATGAGTGAGTTTGATTTATCAAGTGATGTGTTTCTATTGTACGTATTGATACCATACCAAAAGCCTATGGTCAGGCCAGGCCAAATTTGACGCTGTGGCTCGGGGTTTCAGCTTCACATTCACGATTCACGAGATCCGTCTGATTCACAGTGTGGATATTAACCATAATTATAATCTCGGTCACTCAAGCCTAGGGTCAAACTCCGCACAGGCGCTTTCATTATTCTCACCTTAGTACCCATACCAATCTATAACTAACACCTAGTTATAGCGTCGCATTCAAGCCAGCCTAGACTCAGTACGTACCACTACCACTCAGCATCTAACCCGAACAGATAAACCGCCATACATCCCCATCCTCTCGGCCCCATATAGCACACCATGTCCGAGATCCTCAATCTGAACATCCATAGCAGTAGCAGTAGCCCGTAGAAGACCCTGACTTTCGTGCCCCCTACCCAAGCGAGGAATATGGCAGCGAGCCAAGTGTAGTTGCCTCGATACCATAGTGCCGCCATTAGGAGGATGGTCACGAGCTTTGTGTACATTGGTATGAGCGAGTGGTGACGGTGGTGATGGTGATGTATGGGTGCTGGTGGGTTGTAGGATGGGAGGTACATGCCGGTTATATGGCCGGTGAGCATGAGGATTATGGTACTTGGAAGGGTGACTGGAATGGACGGTGCGGTATTCGAACAATCAATGGCTGAAAGATATAGGTCCCGAGTCTTGAAAAATTTGGGCAAGGGATGGGTGGTGCTGATGTGGTACAGGTGTCGTGTTCTGAAGGTTTCAAGTGGGTTATCTTTTTAAACTCTTATGTATAGCTTGAATAGTGTATGTGACCACATGAAAACACAGCATGCCTAACCTGGATACGTATATAAGACACTATAGTGCCTGCATTCTGAAATTTATTATTCACACCAGTCACTTCACCGCCTATCTACTCATCCATAACAATTACACTCGCAAGATTCAATCTACCATAACTCTAAACATGAGCACTTCAAATGATACATCGGCATCTCTTAGTGACCGCCTCCTCGCCCTCTTCAATACCAGCGTCGATTCAATCGATACCTCAATCGAGGCCTTAATCGATACCTCCTTCACCTCCAGCCCGCCAGCTTACGACGCCATCATTCACAGCACTCTCAACGATATGGAATCCGTCTTCACTGAGTGGGAACATGATCACAACCTCAGCTTCATCACCTCCGTCATCCACAGACGCCGCACTCAGCTTCTCGAGACCGGTAGCTTCACCTCCGGCGATGAGGACTTCCTTGCCTACCATGCTCCACCCTCAGAGACCGCTTCTGATGCCACTGAGCCCGACGTCCCCGATGATATGCTGTGTACTATCTGTGGGCGCCGCCAGATCAGCGTCCAGTTCCGCGATTGTGTCCATGCGTCGTGCAAGGACTGTGCGAAGGGTATGTGGCGTGCGAGAATCCAGTACGACGGTCATTTTCCAGACTATTGGCATTGCCCGTTGTGTAGGAGGTATGTTTATGAGGTGAAGGAGATTCGTGCGAAGGATGATGAGGGTGAAGCTAGGGAAATAGCAGTCATGGAGTGGATTTTGGAGGTTTCGAAGAGCGCAAAGGAGATGGTTGTGGATGTGCTGGAATAGACAAAAAAGCTAAGGCAAGTCGTGAAGGATGAGAAGATAGGCTAGGCCTATATAAAGACTATTTGAACGCATACGCTTCTCGTATGCGTCGTCGAAAGGAGAAGATTTAAATGATACGGAATAAATTGCTACTACTATCGGAGTTGTCAGTACTTCTCAGTGATTAACAAAGAATTCTTCGCGGTTGAAACCCAAGTTATAAACACCCACCAAATATCAACGTAAAATATATGCCGGCTATGCGGACGGAAGAAGGCCTGACTGCATTTTTCTTTTGATTTTGTTTAGTGAATTGGTGTATGCCTATGTCTAAATAGTACACACCTACCTTCACCCAAGCAAAGCCCCTTATTGTCTATTTTCCCATCGAGTATGCCATTTATGGAGTAATTCTTTGTAGGAATTCTTTAAGCTTCATGTGTTTCTTCTAGAGATGATGTAGCTATCAGATCTTGTCACACTTCCCCTCACGAGAGAGGAATCATGGAGCTCAGCTACTTGATGTAAGGTGCAATATATTATGGCCTATAGTACGGCCTGCCAGCTGGGAATGATATTCAATCGAATGTCCTGTGAGAAGTTGATTAATGAGATGTAGTATGTGCTGTAGACGTAATAAAGGATTTGAATAGCAATGGATCTCATCAGCCAATTAGCAATCCTTCAACCACAAGGTTAATTAAGATATTGTCGATATATCTGGAGGAGATCGAGATAAATGGTGCAATGTATATGTCAATACCAGAAGTACTCGATATGATAGTTGTGGCCATGAATCATCACTCGGTCTAAGGGACACATAACTAATCTTTGTGTTGATATTTCTAGCTTTAAGGTGCAGTGTAGTTTGCTATCTACAACTACCGTACGTAGTTTGAAGTCTTTGAGCTTTTCGAGCCTTTGTGGCTACATTTAGGTCGAGTTAATATTTATGATAGATTATACATCTGTTATGAGTACTTTCTAGTACTAGGCACCATATGTCGACTCACCGTCTCGCACAGTTACGGTTTGCTATACATGACTCATTAGCAGCACAAAGTCCTCTTACCATTAATTATTCCTGCCGTTACACTACGTTCTTTCTACACCACGATTCTCCACCCGCAGTGTAATGAAGAGAGCTACGTCTACATTCAGTTTTTGCTAGGTATTTACACAAGTATCCACACCTGCGCCTCTGGCTCTCCTGCCACAATTTTAAACCTCCGTATACTATGAAGTCTTCAGTCATTCAAGAGTTACTATGTACTAGTTCACTAGTTGTGGACCCCCGGGCGTGCGCGTGGTGCTTATGGTCATCCTGGCTTTCGACTGCTCTTTTCTACATCCCACTGACTTCTCTATCCTTTATTAACGCTTCAATAGAACTGATCATTTAGAGGAACGTGGCATGGGAGCTCCCAAGGAGTGAAGAAGACTACGGAGTTTTGTCCATCCAGAGCGAGAAACAGGCGAAGGCTGTTTTTAGACAAGAAAATTTCGGTTTGAAGGTGGCTATTATATGAATTACGCTATTTCACATATGGAGTGAACTGTCTTGAAAGCAAACGGAGGCTTGAAGATCATTGTGTACGCACACTTTTGGGTTTATTCACTGGTGTTCACATCACTTGATGTCACTCGATTGATGCAGGAACCCGACCTGCCTTAATTTCAAGAACAACAACCAACTCAGCTCTCGGTATTCCTATTGATACCATAGAGGAGTAATTTACAGTGAACTGCGCATACGGAAATGAAGCCAGAGGTTAACCTACCCCCGAGCTTATATTATGGGGGATTATCTCGCTAATTGCATATTGTTAACTGCGTAGCATTGTCTTCATATTTTCACTCATAATATCAATGGTATTAGTCGTCAGAAGTAGTGTTCTTTCATGCTGCCAGTATGAAAACGTTAACAGCACTTGAAACCCAACGGAAAATATACCCCACCGATTGAAAAGGCATATTTCAAAACCTGAAGATCTATGCATGAAATTCATCATAAAAGCCCTCATACCGGTGCAAAAGACCTTTAAATATCACACACTCTTACTCTAATCAAAGCATCATCTCAATCACACAATCACACCAGCATTAACAACAACTATCAAATACTAAATACCCACCCACGTTCCAAATCAACACTCAAATACTAAACCAATACTCAAAAACCACTCAAAAATACTCAAAATAATGTGCTTCACACACACCGTTCTCCCCGTTGCACCAATGTGCCCCGTGCCTGTCACCAGCACGGAAAAATTTCCCAAGAGGCCCAGCAACGTCAAGTCCGCGCGCACGCCAGCAAGATGGATTTGCTGCCGTTGTGAATCGGCGAATACATATTATTTGAGACAGTGTATGGACTGTCTCCATAACAAATGTCGTGATTGTTACCGTGAATACTAGTAGAGGCAGTAGAGACAGTATTCGGATATTCGAGGGATGAGGTTAAAGTGTGGAATTTTTGCATGGAGAGGAATATTTAGAGGTTAGCGATGAGAGATTAGGCGATATTAGATGATATTAGATGAGATGTTGGACGAGATATTAAATGAGTGATAGATAGAAAAGGCGAGAAAAATATAAAAAAATATGGTGGGATTAAACTTGTTTGGTTGGTCTGCATACGCGTGCTTTATTGGTTTATTGGATTAAGCGTAGCCACGTGCTGCGTGTCCTAGATATTTGGCTAAGAAACTTTCATAGTTCTGGCCGAGGCTAGGTACCTCTGGTACTTGTGCGCTTAGAGAAATTCGTGAGAGAGAGAGAGAGAGAGAGAGAAGGAGAACTAAAATCTCATAGGCTTGCGTATTTGGGTTTCTTTTTGATCGTCCTATGTAACGGAGAAAGTGGCCACGCAAACCACCTTGCTCTGCAATTTGACCAATAAGTACATATGTAGTCGCCCTCCCACCCCAGTCCCAACTCTTACGTTACTTCAGTACTATCGACCGCCGGCTTCCTGAATAAAATTATATGATTTTTGTGCAAGCCGAGTCTTCGGATAGAAGAGAAGGTGCGAGTTTTCTGTAAGAGAATGGGGGGTGGAAAAGCTGGGTATAGCTAGGGAGACTCTGCTGAGAAATCTGGTGCAAATATGGGCGTTCCGCCGGTGGCTAGGGAGAGCGAAGGGCTTTCGCCGCTACTGTGTTGATCCATTTAGCGTATCTGCATACCCCGTTTTTGGGGCCACGGAATGATAGGCGGACAACTACTTGGTACGCTAATGATCTATGATTATATGCATGTTACCTAGATTACTACCGGAGTCAAAACTTAAAACGATAGGTATATATATGTGTATATCGTTACACGTTCAGAGGGATACCATATTCTATGTGCCGAAATCCAGATTAAGGGCCAGGCAAAGGGTAGCTATAAAGACACAACAAGGAGCTTCGCCTAGCTGAGTCTACTTTGGAATATATCCCTGCCGAAAGCCTAGGGCTCCTAATTAACCACTGGCTGCCAAAGAATCTACACAGAATAGATATAGCAGTCCACCAACCAGCATTGTCCGTAACCGTTTCTACCACCAAATTTTGTCCCAAGAGCTGAATGCCAAGTAGCCCAGACACAGTTCCTTGGCGACCTTCGTCGAGTGAGACATTGTGAAGTATCCTTTTACCCCCGAGCTTGCGCAAAGACCATTCCCCGTCCTAAAGGGTAAGAGAAGGTGTAGATTTATAACTAACGGTTTCTCGATGGAATTTTAATTCCGAACTGGTAGTGTAGCTCGTTTAGCCAAGCCTCCCCCCTTAAATATTCGTTCGAAATTTCCAATGGCTGGTTAAATAGCCTCTATGTTAGATCTGAAACTCCAGGTCGGCCTAGAAGCAGCTGTATGGAACATTCCTGGTTTTAGATGAAGATACTGGTCTCTGAGCCCTTCTTTAAAAATGAGCTTCATAATGGAGCAGATATTCTATCTGTAAAGACCTAATGGAGTTGTAAAAAAGAGATGGATTAAATTCAAAACCAAATAATTAGGGAATTGCTAATTCTAAGAGGAAACTTGCCTAGCAAAAGATACAGCTGTACAGATGCACCAGCGCCCGAGTGCAAAGAAGGATTGAGGACCGACATCCAGCCTGAACAAAGATGAATCTTATAGCTTTACATTTCATTAGCAAATCTCATAGGGACACTGAGCTCCTGGATTTCTGATTGGCGTTCTCATAAGTAGTAGTGATTCAACCAATACTTTTTTTGAGTAACATTGTGTGGAAAAAAAGATATTCTATCTAAGTTACTAGTAACAGAAGGGTTGATGGGACAAACTGTATGGTATCAAGCCTAGGTACGAGCAGGGTCCATTCAATTGTCGGTTACATCACCGGCTTAGTCATAGCTCACCCCTTGCTCTCAGAGACACACCAGCGTCATGCAGCTTACAACTTTATTTGTACTGCACCGAAACATCTCCAGAACTTCCACGTCGAGCTTCAAATTTCCCCAAAGCTTTTATCGTCCCCAGCGAGAAAAATAGCAACTTGCACAGTTATGCCTTCAGATAGTGATGGCACTGCCATCCCCACTATGGACTCTGACGATATTCCAGAGACCACGATGTCAAGGGGGAGACCTCTACTTTTACCCACGGTAGGTGTGGGGACTTCCGATTTTTTGATGAAGCTTTTGAGAACTAACACAGAGGAGGGTCGTAAATTACGGCATCTGAACGGGATCGTGGTGAGGAATTTGACGACTTCGACGGCACCTTCACGTGCCAGAGGGAAATCAACCGATGACGACTTTCTGGCAGGTGCCTGGAGAACAGCGAGCAAGACGCTCGCTGCTACTCAACAGGATGAGAGCGAATCAAGCCTGCACCACTCGAAATCGTCAAGCGACCTGTCTTCAGAGAGACCACATTCGAGGCGACGTAGTACGCGTGGGTTGGACGGCCCGGTACAGAAGCAGAAGCGACTTGAGGATATGAGAATGTCCGATGTGTTCTTCTCGCTGCATGTTGCAGAGCTTGGAGGTGGGTGCTACTCCGATTTATC